AAAAAAAAATTTACCTGAGGGGAAAAGGGATGAAAAAAAAGATGAGAGTTTTTTTAAAAAAAAGGGAGTCGAGGGGGTCGATGTAGAACCCCGGGGGGTTCTTCCGCCGAGTAGGAAGAATGGGGGGAGTAAGGGGGAGTAAGAGAAAGAGAGTTAGCATATTTTTCTGATTATTCAGCGGTGACATCATCGGTCGGGGTTGTTGTTGTTTATTTGAAAAGCCTTCAAGCCCTTCAACACAAATTTAAATTCCTGCTTTTCATCATCATCATCAAGAAACCACCAATGTTTATTTTTTTTTCTGTCTCTCTCTCTCACTCTTTCTCCGTCTCTCTCTTTCTGTCTGCTCTCTCTCATCCAGGTATATTCATATTCAAATTGACACTAATTTATTATTCATCCGAAAAACAAATAATTAACAAAACAATATAGAGGTTTCAGAGCGAGACGAGACCGTATAAATATTATTATTATTATTATTATTATTATTATTATTATTATTATTATTATCATTATCATCATCATGAAAATCGTTCTTTCTTTCTTTTTTTTGTACAAACTTTACCGCATTAACAATGAATATTTTTAAAACGTTGTTTTTTTAAAGTTATTATCATCATCATCAAACATTTGAAAACGTTACATATTAAACGTCCTGTGTGATTTTTAATTTTACGTCAAAAAAAAACAGAGTGACTCATAAAAAAAAATCATTTTCCCGTTAGCCATGCGTTAACGCAAAAAAAAAAAAATGATTATTAAAGAGGAGAAGAAGAAGAAGGACTTTGGAAAAAACGGAATCAAGGTTGCTTTTTTTTGTTAAAAGTTAAAAAAAAAAATTTTTAATTAGTTTTTACGTAGTTAGTAGTGGAAGTAGTGGAAGTAGTCGTGGTAGTGGTAGTAGAATGATTTAGTCATCCGTCCGTTTTTGAGTAACGGATTTTACACTCGATACGCAGAGGTGTAATAGTAATAATAATAATATTTCCGTCCTTGAACGAAATAGACAACACGTCAAACAAACGACGGAATTAACTACAAACAACAACGAACCGTATACAAACAAACAGACGTCGAAAGGTTAAATTAAAAAAAAAAAAAACTTTCGATCGTAATTTTTTTTTTTGTTCCGTTTCAAAACGAGAGAATTTAATTTTAATTACGAAAGAAATAATAATAATAATAATAATTAATGTCGAACGAACGAACGCGTATAAGAATCACGTATAATAATAATAATATAATTCAAGTATAAATTTTATGTGAGTGCGTGCGTGCGTGAGTGCGTGCGTGCGTGAGTGCGTGTACGCGTGCGTGTAACCAATCAATTTGGTGATGATGACTCACAAATGCGAACCAATTATTATTATTATTATTACTCATTGCAACTTTAATCGGTTCGTTTTGAAAGTTTATTTCATTATTATTATTATTAATTTAACGATACACGCACTCACGCACTCACGCACTCACGCACACTCGTTAATAAAAAATTACGCAACGAATTGTACGGTTCTAACATCTGAATAATCAGTAATGGATCTTATGGGTTGCATTATTATTGTTCGATACAGTTAAAAATTTCATAACCGTTCGCGTTAACAAATCGTTATTTGTTTAATCGGGCGTTCGTTAGCGGGGAGGGGGAGGGGAAAAAGAATTTTCACAACAACCAACAAACAAACAAACAAATAATAAAAAAAAACCTTTCGATCGTTTTTTTAAACGTTATAGAAAAAAAGTGTTTTATCCAAATGAAAAACCTTGAAGGTAGGGTTATCGCTAAACCAGTGAGCCGTTGACGATAAAAATGAATATAAAAAAAAAAAATTTTAGATCAGTGACCTTTAATGATAAGACTTTTTTTCATTTTTTTTTTTTAGTGATAATAATTTCGCAATTTTACGCAACAACAGATTTTCTTTGAACATTAGACAGTCTGACGCTTACTAAAAAAAAAAAAATGTCTGATAAAAAAAAACGGAGCGAATTTAGATTTTTTAAAAATTTTAATAACAAAAGTTTTCTCTCTCTATCTCTCTCTCTCTCTCTCTCCTTTGATCTTAGATTATTACGTTTTGTTCGAACAAAAAAAGAAGAAAATTTCAATAATAATAATAATAAAATATTTAAATAACGCGTAATTAATAATATTAATAATAATTCGTCGAATTCATATTAAAATGATTTTTTTTTTTTTACGTTTTCCCTGTTTTATTATATCTTAAGTGCCTACGTGCAAAATTGCAAGTCTCGACACGAGGACACGCATACGCATTGCTAACGGCTTAATGACACATGTGCGCGCGTGCACACACACGCAGTAAAGCATCATCGTAGTCATCGTGCGTGAGTAGGTACATGCATGTGTGTGCGTATATATATTTACGCGAAATCGACATATACGTCCTGCGTACGGCGGCAGAGTTCAATAAAATCGTGGCAATAAAACAAAAAAAAATTATTATTATTATTATTTCTTTTTTTTTTTTTCACTCATAATCACGACAATTTGTCTTAATGTTTGTCGGAGCTTTTTCAACATTTATTCCAGGCTTTTACCTGCCGATCCCTAAGAAATAAATGCCTGAATATCAGTGATGCTGCATGCCTGATGGATATGTTCCATCATGTTATAACCTATGACATTCCAATAATTCTTCTAAGTGTCACTGAGACCATCTTATTTGATAGAAACGAGTTATTTCCTGTACTGGGCTCCAGTGACTGACATCTGTGAAGTGGTCAGGACCAGGAATAGTGAGGTTCACAACTTTTTCGAGCTGATTCAGGTCGACAATGGAACAAGATTTGTTTTGATTTTGTCTTTATCTTGCTCTCCTCATTTTGCTTTATTATTATTATTATAAATCAGTCATCATATAACATTTTCCTCAGAACTAACTATTTAATTTTTCTACTATTTCCCCATTTCATAATTTTCCTTTATGCATTTCATCCTTAATTTATGCACACAATATACAAATTACAATTTTGTACCTTATAAACTTGAGTAATCTTAAGGCAGTTCAAAATTTTTCTAATCTTAAAATTTTACACTAAAAATATGGGAAAATACGTTAAGATGTATCAGGCAAAAATAAGATCAAAGGAGGTGTGGATATTTATATTCATTTGATGCTTTAAATTATCCAATCACGAGTATTTTCGATACTTTTAATCGCAAAATACGCTAAAATATATCAACCAATCCCGAGTGAGAATGGGGGTGTAAGACAAGATACAAAATTTTAATTTTTTTAAACAATTTTTAATGGTAAAATACGTTAAGATGTATCAGAAAAACATAAGAAAAAGGAGGTGTAAAATAAAATACGAACAACGGAGTATTTTTGATGCGAAAATTCGTTAAGATGTATCAGAAAAACATAAGAAAAAAGAGGTTTAGTTTTTTTTACTTTAAATTAATCAATCACAAGTGAAAGTGGAGGTGCGATTTTTATACCTTAGATTATTACACTAGCTCTATGTAGTGTAATGAGACAAACTAACTCAAGAAAAGGCCTAAACAACAACCTACAACCATTAAATTAACCCTTAAAGATTAGAGTATAGAAATTTCTATACTGAGTTAATATATCAAATCAATTATTGATAAATATTTTTATTAAATTACTTCAATTATTGATTTTTATGATGAGATGAAAAAGATAATTAGTTAAAGTACTTATAATTAACAAAATAAATGTACAAATTTTTAAACTGTTTTTAGGGCCCATATCTTTGTTGGCCTAACGTTTTTGCAAGTAAAATTCAAGCCTTAAAATGAGGTGCTTATTCGTAATAATTATACGTATTGAAGCGTCTTCTAAAGATTGTCAAAAAAAAAAACCGTTGACCATTTGTAAATTTAAACTTAAAATAATATAAAAACTTAATTATATTACAATAAACTAGACTAAATAACCAAACTTTTGATATGTATAACTTATAACTAAATTTTTAAATAAAACTATTAAAATTAATTAAATGAGTTGACATAACGTAACTGCATGTCAACTTATTTAATTCTTATTATTATTATTATTATTATTATTAATAAAATTGATAATTGTCACGCGCGGTAATAAATGAAAAATAATTAAAATTTACGCGCAATTTAATTTATAAACCTTTGATTTAAATTTAAATTGGATTCACGTAACACATACAAAATTTAAAAAAAAAAAAAAGATTTGGATTGAAAACTTTTTTCTCATCTCTCTCTCTCTCTCTTTTACTGTTTCAAAACTTTCACAGGAAAAAATTAAAATAAAAAAAAAAAATTAGAGGGCCTAAAACAACACACACACACACTTGACTGGTAATTAGGAACAAATGACTCAGCCCAGATTTTTTATTATTTTATTTTCGGTATTAAAATTTTGGATGAAACGTAACAACAAACAAACAAACAAACAAACTTAAAAAAACAATGAAACAATAATTAAAAAAAAAAGAATATAAAAATAAATAAATAAAATTTTTTTTTCTGTTTTTATACCTGAAAATTTATCGACTTGATTTTTTTTTTATTTTTATTCATATAAAAAATTAAAATTTTTTTGTCGTCGTGGTCGTCGACGTCGACGACCACGACGATGACGTTTGCCAATTAATGATCAATTTTATTTTAATATTTTTTTTTTTTCCTTCAGGCATGATTTAACGAGAGACAACCGTGATCTTGTGCATGTCAAATGACAGTGAGTAGTTTCTGAACGACCTTGAACTCAACATCAGGTCTTTTAATAGAACCACACCTACGCTCAAAACGAATATTTTTCTTTCTCATTCTATCTCCTCTCTCTCTCTCTCTCTCTCTGGTGCACACATGTGAACGACGACTAAGACGACGAAGACGATGACGAAGAAGACGTAAAATATACCTGAAATACCTTCTTTTATGAGAAGAAGAAGAAGAGGAGGAAAAAAAAAAGTTTTTTTTATTTCACTTAACATACGTTTTGATTGAGTTTTTTTTTCTTTAAAAAAAAAAAATGTTTCAGCATCGCAAGTTAAGTTGTTTTTTTTATTTTTTTATAACAATTATTATTATCATTATTTCATTGCTGGAGGAACAAACATAAAAAAAAAAAAAAACATATAAAAAAAAAAAAAATTGAAATTTACTTTATTAGAGTTCAATATTCAGGGGTCAATAAATTGCGTAATTGTGGAGATAAAAAAAAAGATAATAATGATTTTTTTCTTTTTTTTTTCTAGACGTATTAGAGCAAGTGATTTCTGGTACTTAAGTTTTTTTTTTTTTTTAATGTAATTATAGAGCTTAGAAAAGAAAAAAAAACCTGCCTCGTATTTTTTTTCTTCTTCTTCTTCCACGTGAAATTAGTTTAAAATTTTTTTTTTTTTTTTTGATATATGATTTCCATTCTTGTAATTGCTTCTTTTTTTTTTTTTCATAAAACCTCTCCCTCATCCACCCACTTGCCACATGAAAATAATAATAATAATATTTGTACTCTTTTTTTAAATGATCGTGATAAATTTTCTTATCATTCTTATCATCCTACTGACAAATACATGTATCTAAAAATAATTTAAAAAATTACTCAGGGTGACAAAACACCAAAAGAAGAAGAAGAAACACGTGGAATTTGACCTTGAAAAAAAAAAAAGAAAAACTTACGTAACTTTATTTCTTATTTTACATCCTCCCCACTCACCATCCCTATCTTCCCCTCTCAAAAAAAAGTTCTTTCTTTCTCGAATTTAAAAACGAATTAATAACGATGATGATGATAATGATAATAAAACGACAAAATAAGCAAAAACAGCTCCTGGAAAAAATTAAAAAAAAGAAAAAAATTTGACGATAACAAAAACATGTCGGAACCTAATTTTATTAATATTATTATTATTTTTAGTGACGTATTTCAAAAAAATTTTCACGTGATTTTTTTAGTTTTACGTAGTAGGAAAAGTGGAAAATTTTTCTTTTTCCTCTCCCCCCCCGAAATATAATTAAGAAAATTAATTAAAGTTATTAAAATCGTGCGTGAGAAGTCAAAAAATATGTTGCTAATGTTTAAAAAAAAAAAAAAACATAAATCGTGCGTTCTCCGTAATTGTTTCCAGGTTTTTCGAAATTATATAACAATAATAATCATTAGTATTATTATTATTATTATTATTATTATTACGAACGAACGTGAAAAACGTTCGATATTCATAAAAGAATTAATAAAAAAAAAAGAAAAAAAAATTTTTTTTTTTCATTTTAAAAATCATCGGACGACCTTAACCTTACGCACGTATGATAATAATATTTTCAAGGTCAATTATCAAATTCAATTCGAGCGCGTGGAAGAAGACAACAACAACAACAACATTTTTTTGTCTTTCTGCACGAAAAAAATCGTCGGTGAGATATTTTCCACACATCCTTCCCTCTCCCTTCCTCTCTACGGCACATTAATATATATTCTCTCGTTATTATTATTATCATTATTTACTTTTATCGATAAAAAGTTTATGGGGGTCGTCTGTCTCCCCGACCCGCGCGCTCGTGAGAATAAAAAAAATTTTTTTTTTTTTTTATTTAAAGGGATCGCGTCATTGAAAAAGAGTAATGCCCGTTTTTTAAAAAATTTTTCTCTTCCTGAACAGGAGAGGAGGGAGGTTCAAGGTCGAACGTCGAAAAAAAAATGATTTCGTCATCCTGTTTCTCTCTCTCTCTCTCTCTCGTCTCTCTTTACGAGAGAATTACATTGCATGATTTTTTATACTGCGTGCAAACGAGAGAAGGGGAGAGGAGGGAGGAAGGGAAGGAGTCAGGTACGATTCAGGTTTTTTTTTTTTATTTTGTCCTTCAATTGTTGTCAAATCATGATCTAAAAGTATAAGTTGTTGTTGTTGTTTTTAAGTGAAGGGAATTCGAGATTTGATTTCCCTTTCGATAATCGATATATTTCGAGATATAAATTTACTCGTTACGTCTTTATAAAAAAAAAACAATTTCTCCATTTTTTTTTAAAAAAAAATTATTAAGAGTAATAAAAATGAAAATTTGAGGGTAAAAAAAAAAAAATTGAAATTTTTCTTTTCCTAAACGCACGTTTTTTTCATTTCGTTTCCCTTATATATAAAAAAAAAAAGTTTTTAACGTTCGTGACACGTTTCACTCTCTCGACAGGTAACAGAAAAAAAAAAATTGATTAACCATTAATTAAAAAATTTTAAATTGACATTTTTTTTCTCTCTCTCTTTCTCATTGATCACACCTGCGCGCGTTTCATTACAAAAAAAAAAAATTAAAATTAATTTTCCTCTATCCCCTCCCCCACCTTCCCTTCACTTCTTCTCCTTTCCTCCCCTCACCTCCTCCCCGACTCATTTTTAACTTATTTCTTTTAAGCTGGAAAAGATTTAATAATAATAATAATAATAAAACCCGACGTAGCGAACCGTAAAACTTTTTTTTTTTTTTTTTGTTACCTTTCCTCTTCCGACTCCTTTTTTTCTTCCCTGCCCCTCCCA